GAATCGCCACCGGTCTTTGCCCTAACGATTGTTATGATCATAATAACACTAAAAAGGAGGGTGAATTAGTGCTTTCGTAAAATTACGATTAAACAAACAATAACACATTGGAAAGAAACAAATATGTCAATTGTGAATTGTAATGACTATTTTTTTTTGATATAAAGCAAAGAAGTGTTAGAAAGAAACAAGATGTCAATTGTGAATTGTAATGACTATTCTTTTGTGTGTGTGCGAAGCGTCCAAGCAACTGCTTTTATTACTTCAAAAGTGATTCGGCCAATAGATCTTATGTTCTTCTCAGCTATAAAAATTATTTCTCTTATAATTTAATAATATGTTCTAAATATCTGTCAATTGTTAGTTGATAATTTTATAGCACATTTTGATACATAACGTTGACTCATTGTGCAACTCGGGTAACTCCAAACGCGAAGGCTTACAAATCGATGCTTCTTTTAACATAGTCTTTCATCTTTTTATTTATTTGTTCTTGAGTTTGGGACCCACGTATTGACCGATCCAAAATCTTCATCTTTGATTTATCAAACTTGAAAAAAGTAGTGCAACCAAGGCTGCCATTTAATGGCCTTCTTATCCAATGTTTCAGCTTTGGGGGTACTCTCGCCATGTATACATCCACTCGCTTTTTGCTTTCATCAATGCTCGTTCCAACTCTCTGGGAAAGGGTACAGTAATCTCCATCCGCACCCTGTAGCAGCAAGCAAACAGTGTTGCTTTGCGATTCTCGAGTTCCGCAGTTTGCGCTTTCCAGCAACAGTGTAGCACAGAAGACGTCCTGTCGAAGGGGAGTTGTGAGAAGAAGAAGACGGGGAGGTAGCACACTCCATTGTGGGCAGCCTTCGTTCCCCAAAAAACGGGGCATCGCCTCCGCCTGCACAGCTTGGCATTTATTAATGCCTTGCTTGTACGCTCCTGTGTGATGGCTTCTGCTCGCTGTGGTCACATTCTGAGGGTGATCAGCCGACTCGTCGAAGGATCAACGAGCTTCTGCATTTACGCATCATCTGAGGGTTTGACCACTTGAGCTTGCTACACACCCACCTAACGCCTGTCTTATCACCCGAGCCATTATGTCCCACATTGGATTTCACCGAATGATATACCACACCAGTCAACTGTTGACACGTAGTTATGTTCACTGCAACTAAAGACCTCCGTATCGACAAATCAATCCAAAAGATATCGGCGTTCTCGGCACACTACTTGGAAAGATATCACCATCCTCATAATAATGACAGACCGGCTCAGAAGACATTGACACCTTAACATCTATTAGTCCGGATGTGATCTCCGGACAAGATACTCACAAGTCACAAGAACACCATGGTGAACGCCACCGTAGCTTTCCTCCATCTCTCTTTCTCTCTTCTCCAGAGCTCAGGAAGCCCCTTTACCAGGCAACTTTTAACTTCAACGTCAGAGGAGAAATCAATGAAAGAATTTGATCGGCTTCATCCTCCTCATTTTAGGTGGATGATCAAGATCTAACCCATAAAACAACAAAAGGTATGATTCTTAATTTATACTAGCTATTTACTAGTAAAAGTTTCGTAATGGCCGAGACGAACATTCGAGCGCGATTTGGGGACGCCTTTCAATCCGGTTGCCACTGTTAATAACACATGGAGGACTCTTTTGCTCCCTTTTTTTCTGCAGCTGGTCACTGTGTGATTTGATTGACACTAGTGTTGTGATGCCCTACTCGTTCTTGTCCATGAAGAGCGACCATCAGAAGTGACATGACAATGAAGCAGTCTCTTACGCATCATAATTGCTGCGGTAAACAAAAGAAGAACCACCTTCCTGTGTCGATTTCGTTCTCGGTTAAGCCAGCCATGAGGACTGGACATGGACGCTCACCTGTTTGTCGCTTTGCCATTGCAGTTCCACTTACGCTGCCATGGAAGATAACTTTGCAGTGCCATCTCTGTCACACACACAAGTAGAACCGGAAGCCAGCAGTAGTAACATCTAGCTATCTTCTTCTCAGCAAACAATAACACATCCAAAAATTGGACAATCTATGTCAGTACTAGAAGCACAGATGTGTGCTTTGCATGAAGCTTACAGTAATTTCTGGTGAACAAAAGAGTAATATCTAATTCTTTGTTTACATTTTGCGAATATTATTTATACTCTGCTGTCGATAAGAAATGAGTGATAAACACATAAAAGAATCCAAAAAGTAGTGAGTGCCAAACAAATTAAAGCTGCATTTTTGGAAACTGCTTGTATGTATATCCTTTGAACGTTTGATTCTTGCACGTAAACCCACATGGGAACTAGCTTCGGTGAATATTACTGAATCTCCAACATCATCATCCTTGGCCTGCATCAGTGATTCTACTATGGTGGGAGACATTGGAAGGTGTAAATAAATACAACTTTGCCGAAATGTGATGCAGAGGGCTCATAAATTTGCAAAGATGATACATGTGACGTGGCTGATTATTTTTCCTTCCGACTCTTCCAATCATTGTGGCATCTGTTCGGCTCACATTGTCTAAAGCACATCCACCAACCCAAAGCAAACTCTATAAAGGCCACCCTACTCCATCCCACATTCCAAACCATCTCCTCTTTGTTCACACGAGTGTGGGCTATTTTCGTTGACAAGCTCCATCTTCTCAGGTAATAATCAATCGCTAGATATCTTCTCGTCATGCATGCTCCCTCTTGCTCAATTTTTATGGAAATAATGTTGCGTAGGAATCAACCGAGCAGTTAGAAAGACCAATAAGAGAGATCAATCTAAAGAACAAAAGTCCAGTTCATGTTATAATTCTGTAATAGCAACTAGGAAGCTTAATTTGTCTTGACACTCGGATACATTACAGCCAGTTGCCAATGGAGGAGCAATCACTCGTACCAAGAACTCAACAAACCTTCCCAATCATGGATGACCATGTCATTCCGAGATCAAGGCCAGCCCATAGCATCATGAAATCTCACAGCACTGACTCTATGATAAGCAGCAGCATGAAGGATGATGAACATGGAATCAGGATCAACTTGAAGAGGAACGGAAGCTTCGGAAGCAAGGGTGGATCGGCAGTATCAAATTTTTCTGCAGGATGTGCAAACAGAGCACAAGATTTGGTAGCTACTGATGCACTAGCCATTAATGGCACATTGAGCTCAAGAGAAATAGAGCATGTAGTTGACTTTTGGGCCTCCATGCCATCATCTGAGACACCAGAAACTTCACAGAGGAAGAACCATCCACATGGTGAGAGATTCATGCCCACTTCATTCTTATAGGACATGTTCTACATTGGTGATAGCTATTACTACAGCCGAAGCAGCTACATTATCTCAGTTTAGGGATCACAATAAAAAACATATGATTGAGTTCAACTAAGATGCAAAATTCTTTAGCTATGTTGCGGTATCTTTTTTCTTTCTAATTGCTGCTGATTTAAAATATTTTCTGTAGCTAATGGTAAGATACATTATATATATATATATATATATATATATATCTGCATATCACCATTATTTCTGGTCAGAAGTCCATATGCAAAACTATTCTGCCCAAGACCATAGAGTAATAAGAGTGGCAACTTCTCAAGAAATCGAAAACTGTGTTTATATCTATAAAAGAGTTCAGCCTTATGGACATCAAAATTCAAGAACATTTCGATTGGTTAACATTCCAGCAAAAGATGATGAAGCTGAAGGATCCATGAACAACAAGAAAAACCTGGATTCAGATATTTGGATGGCAATGAAGATAGATCTAATTTTCCCCATATATCTCAAGGTACTGTATGTGGTACAATTTCGTGCTCTTGATATATTCAGGTAGTTTTCCATTTATTAGGACTAGTGTCAAAAGAATTCTGCAATCCTGCAGTTTTCGGACGTGGGATACAAGTTTGCAGATAATGGAGGAACGAGCTCTGTTGCCATGAACTACATCCTTCAAGGAGTCACAGGATCCGTGGAACCTGGTGAGGTTCTAGCACTGATGGGACCATCAGGAGGAGGTAAAACAACTCTGCTTAATCTCCTCAGTGGGAAGATGACAATTAAGGACCATGGAGGCCTCATAACCTACAACGATCAGCCATATTCTAAATGGCTTAAACGAAGGTACCAAACTTCTTGTGCAATGTTATCAATTAGAGCTATGCTAAAGTTGAAGTTTGTGCCCGGTGAGCAGGATAGGATTTGTGCTGCAAGATGATGTAGTGTTTCCCAACCTAACGGTGAGAGAGACCTTAACATATGCTGCTCTTCTTCGCCTTCCCAAGACATTAACCAAGCAGCAGAAGGAAGAAAGAGCTATAAATGTGATCCATGATCTCGGACTTGAAAGGTAAAGAACTGTTAGCATCATCCGTACAGAATCACGAACAGTTCTAGTTGAGGAAGCGAGATCTGTGATGTCCTACCACAGGTGTCAAGATACCATAATAGGTGGAGCATACACGAGAGGGATTTCCGGCGGGGAAAGGAAGAGGGTCTGTATCGGAAATGAAATCCTTCTCGATCCATCACTTCTGTTTCTGGATGAACCAACATCTGGTCTCGATTCAACCACGGCACTTCGGATAGCTCAGATGCTCCACAACATTGCTCTTGTATGTTTGTTGAACTGGGAATTCAACTCAAAAGTTTGGGATTCGCGAGTTGTAACCGGGGGCACTTCTTCTGCAGGCCGGGAAGACGGTGGTCACCACCATACACCAGCCTTCGAGCAGGCTGTTCAACATGTTCGACAAGTTGATTCTGCTGGGGCGAGGCAGCTCCTTGTACTTCGGAAAGACATCGGAAGCCATGCTCTACTTCTCCTCGATTGGCTGCAGCCCTCTCATTCCGATGAACCCAGCTGAGTTCCTTATAGATCTCGCCAACGGCAACATCAACGACAAATCGGTACCTCTGGAACTGCAGCAACGTAGATTCCTATGCAAAACTCCCGAAATCGAAGGAAGATCGTCATCGTCCATGGACATCCATGAAGTACGTATAAGCTGATACATCCACATTCATTACATCGATCGCTTCTTCCTCGTTTCAGATCTTGGGCTCATGCATTCAGCTTTCCTTGGCATGCAGTACCTGGTGGGTGCCTACGAAACCAGGGTTGCCGGAATAGAGAAGCAAAAGCTTCTCAAGCCAGCTCCCATCGACACGATGTGGATGATGCAAGGACGAGGCCCCTGCAGCTTGGATGAATCGAGGGTGGGTTGGTGGGAACAGTGCCACATCCTCTTCTGGAGGGGGTTAAAGGAAAGGCGCCACGAATACCTGAGTTGTATCCGCGTCATTCAGGTTGTAGCCACTGCAGTCATTATTGGATTGCTGTGGTGGCATTCGGATGCTTCCACGCCCAAAAACCTACAAGATCAGGCAGGATTGCTGTTCTTCATCTCGGTGTTCTGGGGTTATTTCCCAGTCTTTGCAGCTATCTTCACCTTCCCTAAAGAACGGGAGATACTGGCCAAAGAGAGATCAGTGGGCATGTACAAGCTCAGTGCATACTTCATTGCCAGAACCACGAGTGATCTGCCATTGGATCTCACACTGCCAATAGTCTTCCTGTTAATTGTCTATTTCATGGCAGGCCTGAGATCAGACTTCACAACATTTCTAGAAAGCTTGCTGACAATATTTCTAAGCATTGTAGCTGCCCAGGTATGTATGTCATGGTGTTGGATGATCCCATTCTCTTCTTAAGAAAACACTGCCTTTTATCAGAACTGCAAGACTAGCTATACTCATAATAATAAATGAGCAACAACATATTCTGCAATCTTTGACAGGGTTTGGGACTAGCCGTTGGTGCAGCTCTGATGGATATCAAGAAGGCAACAACATTAGCTTCTGTCATCATCATGACCTTCATGTTATCTGGTGGTTTCTTCGTGCAGGTAAAAATCGTCGACGCATCAGTCAGTAGCACCTCTTGTTTCTGATCCTTATATATATATAATGTAGCAACATAAATGAACTTGGTTGTGATTGCAGAGGGTTCCATTCTTCATGTCATGGATTCGGCATCTGTCCTTCAACTATCACGCATACCGGTTACTCCTCCAGGCTCAGTATGGATGCACGAGCACAAGCCACCACAATGCTAATCCTTGCAAGTCTCGTTTCATCGAAGAACTTGGACTGGACAACAGAGGGATGGAGGTAGGAACCATGATAGCCATGGTCTTTGGCTACAGATTGTTGGCTTATCTATTCCTTAGGAAGATGAAACTGAGAAATACTTGAGAACATCCCTTCGGGCATGGAAGTCAGATACCAAGCCAATTTTAGTTTGTATGGTGTTTGAATGATCTAATAAGAAGATGGCAAGTAATTACTAGTAGATCTTGATCATTTCAGAAGACTAATAAAATCAAAGCAAAGAGCAAAGAAGCAAAAAAAGGATAATTATGGTTGAAACATTCTGATATCTTGACAAGTGTATGTACCTTTTGACATGATAAAAAATATCTTTAATATTTTTTGAAAGAAGGTAAAATTATTTTAGAAGATAATATAATTCTTCAAAAGTTCAAGTCCATGATAAAAAAATATCTTTAATATTTTTTAGAAAAAGGTAAAGTTATCTTAGAAGATAATGTAATCCTCGTGGAAAGTTATCAAGATATCTATTAAAGAGAAAATATATGAAAATTAAGGTAATTTTTAGTTTTGTCTTTTATGAATGTAATCTTGCACTCTAATATCCTATAAATAGATATAAGAAATTATTATGATTATAAGTTTGAACATTTAGAACCAATAAAGTTATATTTTTTATTTACTTCCTCTATAATATTTATTTCACAATTCTATCACATTTCTAACATAGTGGTATAAGAGCCACGTTATTAAAAATGACCATCAATATCATTTTTTATCCCCTGATCTCATTAATAATCATAAAATTAAAGCATTCATGTATTGCTTGGATCATAATATGTGTGAGAAATAATAGAGAAGGGGTACAATAAGCCTCAAAATCAAGCTATGCATGTGGCGTGAGGAAGAGAGACAAGAAAACTTTCTTCTTGATTTATTAATGACTCGATGAAGAAGATTTCAAGGACTTTCATCACCACCAACTCTTAAGTATGAAAGATCCCTCAAAATTTTTATAAAGGAATAAAGAAGCCGTATGACGTTCGGTACATATAATAACTTTAAAAGTTTACGGAAATGTATTTGAAGTAAGTAAGGAAGGCAATTTACAGTTAAGATAAATAGCACAAAGGAAATGCAAACCAGATTTTAGAGTGGTTCAGTCAAACGTGACCTACATCCACTTTCGGCTTCCTCCTCCAACGAGGTCACCGGCATCTACTAAAAGCCTTCCTTCAATAGGCGAAGGTCAACCACCCTTTTACAGTTTCACTCCTTTTGACGGGCTTAGGAGACAACCCTTATAGAATTTTCACTCCTCTCTTAAATGATCAAAACTTGGAAGAAAAGAGGGAGGAGAACTTTTGGCTTTTACAACACTTTTGAGCTCTAAAATCACATAGTAAGATCAAACTTTCGGTACCCTTTCATGCAGGAAAGGGTGGGGTTTATATAGGCCCCGAACTGGTTTGAATTTGGAGCTTAAAAATGTCATTTCCCGAATTTTCGGGGTCCTGGCAGTACTACCGTCATAACTGGGCAGTACTACCACTCGGAGATCAAGCTTAGGCGGTACCACCGCATGAAAGGGGCGGTACCACTGCCCAGTCTCACTCGGAGACTGAACCCAGGCGATTCCATTGCCTGACCTCGGCGGTTGCACCGCCCAATGTATCAGAAGTCCGCCAGAAGATCGTCGGAAAACTCGCCGGAAGGACACTCGACGTTTGCCAGTTAAAGACTTGCTTAGGACTATGTTTTCAGTTGTATAGTTTGCATGTAATTAGGGTTAGGATTAAGGAATAATCCTATATCCTGGTTAGGGGCCAACTAGGCCCGAATATAACTTGGTTTGGGTCGGATTTGAAGCCCAACCAATGACCGGTAAGGTCGGGCGATGGAACCATCGGACTGGGTGGTGGCACCGCCTAGCACCCGAGAGTTCCGGCAGTGGCACCGCCAGAACACTGTCAATGTGAAAATTGACAGGCGGTAGCACCACCACCGACAGGCGGTAGCACCACCACCGACAGGCGGTGGCACCGCCAGTACACGGTCAATGTGACATTGATAGGCAGTGGCACCGCCAGCTTCGGGAATCCAAGAGAATTTAAAATTTGGAGCCCAAATTTGAATCCTCTTGGAGTCTATAAATACCCCTCAATTCTCAACAGAGAATACAACTTTTGAGAAGCAATAGATTGAGATAAAAGCCTTAGCAAAGTCTTTAGCAAGTCTTGTTTTCAATTGCTTGAGTGTTCACCTCCTTCTTTCTGGTTGAAAATTTATAAGAGTGTGAACCACTTGTAAAAGGTTGTAAGAGGGGTATTTGTCCTTCCCCTTCAAAGTGATTTGCTAGTGGAAGTTGAGAGCCTCTTCGAAGAAGGTTTTGCAAGTGGATGTAGGTCATTTTGACCGAACCACTTTAAATTGGTGTGTTCCTTGAATGTGTGAGTTCTTACTTTCCTGAAATTGTTATTTACACTACTGCTAGCTTTCGATTTTCATCTACTCAAGTTACTATCGAAACGAAATCTCCTCATATTTACGAATTTGTTTTTAAACTTACAAGTTTTAATCTACTGTACTAATTCACCCCCCCCCCCCTATTGCCACTCCGATCCTAACATTGACATCTGAAATGATCGAAAAGAAAATAGGTCAAATCCCTAAGAGTCACGATAAAGCAAGCTTGTAGTAGGGTTGATGATGGGGGATACCAAGCCTTCGGCACCACTTGACAAAGGTAGTTAAGTAGCACTAAGTGTTTAGCGCCAATTGGGCAGGAGAATTTTTTTCAAAAAATATTTTAAATAAAAAAAAATGGAGGAGAAATCTGAGCCCCACTTTCAGGGCATTAAGGGAGGTACAAAAGAAATGACACGACTCATATAGTCGATCGCTAAGCAAAGGAGGTATCAGCTCGATCTCATAGAGAATGTTGAAAGCTTCCTTGATGTGTGTCAAGTCAACCTTAGAGATCCAAGAGTTGAAGTCATACGACCTCGACATGATCAATGAGGTTCGATTGCTTCCCTCATCGCGATGACTTTGACCTCTTCACTAGAGGGGGAAGTAGTGGAAGTTGATACCAAAGGTGGTGAGGGGACCAAAGAACTATCTGACTCATGGTCGAACATTAGAAACGAGCTCGGCGAGGAAGTCATTCAGACTTATTCGAGTGTTGGAGTGAGTAGTATGAAGGCGAAAGAAGATGTGGAACCTCCAAGTAGGTCTAAAGATTCGAAGGCTTTGAAAGGATTTGAAGACTAAAGAGTGTGAATTGTTTGGAGGGCTATTTATGGTCCCCTCGTTGCTCGATGCTTTGACTAATGGGATATGCGGTACCAATGCCATTGGCCAAGGATGATTAATCAAAATTATTGTGATCTTTTGAATTCCTAATGGTATATGCAACCCTTACGTGGATGCTCCTGTAGACACCATGTAAGTAGTGTGATAGTTGAAGCCACAGTCACCAGATCTCACTAAATTTGTCAAGCATCTAAATCAATGTATCTATCAAAGATCGAGGAAGGGTTGGTGCATGCAAGTCTACATGTCATGATCGCATGAGGAGAGAAAGTTGCCCATGAATGTCACTTGTCTTAAGCCTTGGGCTAACCAGTTGAACACCAAAGCAAGAGGCCCTCTTGACCTAATGATCGATTGTTCAAATATTGTCTATTGGGTTGACTGGAAGTGTCCGACCACATGACCCTCGCATCGATCGACCAACGTTGTTTGATGACGCATATCCCATGGGCCAAAATGTCTATTTCAACAATGCATAACCTATGGGCCAAACATGCACTTCGATGACAAATAGCCTATGGGCCAAGTGTGTATTTTGATGATGGACAACCTATGGGCCAAATGTGCATCCTAACACAAGCAAAAACATAACACAAAGCCGATGAGTCGATGATCTATACAACATATTAGTCAAATCCGATCGATAGGTGGCGATCGGATCTAATGACACATGGTCGCTACAAGCTGTATGTAGCCTAATTCCTGACCCCGTGATAGGCATAGTTAGATAACATGAGCTTTAAGAGTGGTGAATATCACGACACACCTTGCACAAAATGCCATAGGGATGGATCCCCTTTCTCTACCAACGATCTCAAACATAACCATTTTCAAATTACCTTATAAAGAGACTTCAAGGTACACATTCAAAACATTCTCTATTTTGATCTCATTAGCTTGTTTGACCAGTCTGACCAATCCAACTAGTTCTTAATATTTTAATATTAGAAATTGATTTTAAGAGGCATTTGTCAAGAATTCTCCCGACTAAGTCTTATAGGGCCGATGCATTAGAAGTTTCCATTCTAAAACTTTATAACCCAATGACTCACTTTTAAAGCTCCAAGAGCCTGACTTATCATAACCCAAGGACACATAGTATTTATACAATGATGAAATCCTAAACTTTATAATTTTTTCCTTCAATTAAGAGTCTTTCCATACTAGAATTCATTAATATCCAAGAATACTAACTTCAGAATTTAAAAAATACTCATCAGCCATCTTGTTTTCTGCCTACCTTTTAACATAATAAGAATTGCTATAATTCATGATGATGGTTTGATGTGAACCAAATGTCAACATGTTTCTTGCCTCAACTTTGTGAGATTCCAAGGTGGTCCACTTCAACTTTAGCTAATGCTGCCGTTTGCTCCTTTTCTTTTTCTCTCTCTTAGCATATTCCATTTAATCTTTTCCATCATCTACATCACAGAATCTCTTTTCTCTTCACTGCTGATCCTGTTCCCTCTCTAATCAAACATTCAAGTTCAGGAATCAAACAGTTCTTGCTGCTATTTAGTTTGCAAGCTTTTCAAAAGGCAGTAGTGTTGAGGATTATCTATTTTCTTTCATATATGAAGCCCTCCATCGTAGGTTTTGGGATATCCTTGGCTTCCTTGGTCTGCCATCTCCAGTAACTTTTCTAAGCCTTGGGAATTACTTTTATATGTATGCTCAAACTATTCAAAATTACATCATCACATGTTAACAACATCATCACTGTATTAACATCCAATATTAGGAAAAAAAACAAAAAAATATGTCGATCAATAACCAATAATATGATCTGATATTAATCATTCCACAAACTAGTAAATATCTATGGATCCACCGGTATTTAAAACCTTGCTCACAAGTTTTTTTTTTATATAAGCAAACAAATAATTTGCAGATATGAGCCTTTTGATAGCTCCAAGTGTGCAAGTCAACAGAAAGATCTCAAACTCATTTAAGAATGACCGGCCAGCATTGTCATTATTGGATGGTTTAGGTTGTAGCAATCAGAAGATGGGGGACATAGAAAAGGTGGAAGGACGCAGACAGCAAAAGAAGCAATGAGAGTTGATGACTGCATCAGCAATAATGATCATATACATGTAACACTTGCATGACACCACTTCAATCTCGTTTCCTACCAACATCACACCTCTCTTTGACTCTCTAGTATCACTATATACCTTCACATTTATGGCTCCTTTCAACCTGCTTCTTCTTCTTCTTCTTCTTCTTCTTCTTCTTCTCGTTCATCATCCTTTTATCATGTCGGCGAAGGACTGTGGCAACCATGGGCACTGCCAGCGGCGCAAGCTGTACCGACGCCTCTTCGCTACCGTCCTCACCTTCATCATCGTTGTCCTCATCGTCATCCTCGGCGTCTGGCTTGTCCTCCGCCCCTCCAAGCCCAAGTTCTACCTCAAGGACACCTCCATCTTCCAGCTCAACCTCACCGCAGGCTCCAACCTCCTCACCACCGTCATGCAGGTCACGCTCGACTCCCGCAACCTCAACGACCGCGTCGGCATATACTACGACAAGCTCGACGCCTTTGCAGCCTACAAGGGACAGCGGATCACCGCCTCCACGGCGCTCCCCACCGGCTACCAGGGCCACGACGATGTTGTCGTGTGGTCGCCCTATCTGTACGGCGCCGCCGTCGCCGTGGCGCCGTACCTCGCCGTCTCCCTCATCCAAGACCGCGAGGCGGGGCTCCTTCTGGTCTATATCAAGGCGGAGGGGCGTCTCCGGTGGAAGGTCGGGACATGGGTCTCCGGTCACTACCACCTGCAGGCTAACTGCCCGGCTTTCCTTGCGATCGACAACGGGAAAGGCAGCGGCAGCGCCCCGTCGTTCCACTTGCAGCAGATTTCGTCATGTAGCGTTGACGTCTGAGGCTTGAGGGTGACGATGATTATAGTCAACTATGGAGTCATCGTCTCCACGCGCCGTAGCTCTTCCTGCAAACTATTTGAGGTGTATCTTCACCTGGTTTATTGCAAGCTTGTGTTACACTACGATGGTAGTAATCGTCAAGGCATGTTTCCGATGCTGATATATATGATGTTACTAAGAATTAAATATTACTTTCCTGCTTGATTTCGTTCAGTTCAATATTAATTTCGGTGTTTCATTTATTCTTCTTCTAAATTTGCATTGGAATGCATGGTTTCATTCGTGGTTATACGGTAAGAAGTGGATTGGGAGCATCACAAGGTTTGCAGACAGAAGCCTACATACTTGTTCGGAAGAAGAATCTGATGTTATTGAAGAGATTGGATGCGTTCAAACATCTCTGTCGGCTTCTCAGTCTCACAACACTAGACATCATCAAGCTTTAGGCTAATTGGCTTTTTATTATTAAAGCTTATTGATGCTGTGAATTCAGTCTTAATTTTCTCATGAAGAGAAACAAAAAATCTCATGTTACTAATGATCAAAACAATCTCATGTTACTCAGCTCAGATCACCTGTTGTTCAGGAACAACTTATCTTATTGTTTGGGAAGAGACTGTTTTCTTCTCATGTAGACAGTGCACGAGTAACACAAAAGCGTTGCATCTCAGGTCTGCAAGGAACCAGGTAGGATCAAAAGCTGATTCCGAGAAAAAGAAACGTGGATGAGGGAGAGGATATGCATTATGCACTTCAAATGCTTTCAGCAAACCAGAGGCTAAAGGATGAGGCAAAAAGCCGAGGAAAAAGAAAAAGGAGGGCAGAAGAAACCAAACAAGCCATATTCTATCAACTTTTCCATTAGTTTTGCCCCTTTTCCTTTTTTGGTATTTTTTTATCCCTTGTTAAGCTTGTATATATTTTGATCCAGTAGTATATATATATATATATATATATATATATATATATATATATATATATATTGTCTCTTGTTAAGTAAAAAGATTGTGTAGCGTACCACACGTGTCATCACTCACGTGATTGGCTTGTAAGACATCTATGATTAACAACCGAACCACCACCCCTGACTATAACTTATAAAGAAGTAACAAGTCTTCCACCCTTTTCTTAGAAGGTGCCCCGCTCACCTTGAAACCACCTCGGGCAATTAGGTGGTAGCTGCCCTATCCCTTGCAAAGGTAAAAATATGCAAAGAAGAGGATGCGGGTCATGAGGGCGAGATCCGCCACCACTCGAGGTAAGCCTTGATAATCGAATGTAGCAAGAACCGAAGTCCCACCTCGAGCGCATCGATCGTCAGCTTGAACCCATTCGGGAGGGGGTCGTAAGAGCGATGCTTGGGCCAAGGAGCATGAAGCTCATAGTCGGCTGGGATGTTATAGCGTTCTCGAAGGCATTCGAGAAGCTGCTCGGTCATGATTGAGTCGTAGTCATGAGACAACTTCATCATTTGTAAGGCCTTAAGGTCTCTATATCGACTGGGGACATGCCACCCGAGGATGAACTAACTACTTCTTCTCTAAGACTACTCGAGGACGATGCTACGACCTCAGGCGATAATCGACTTGACGAAGAGGAGGAAGATGACATTCTGACCTGAACTGCTAATGCCCAATGAGAGGAAGGAATGAGGCGATGGGGGAAAATGGAGCAAATGAGTGAAATGAACCCCTCATAGCCAATGGAGGGTTTATAAAAACCCTATTGCCTGATGCGACCCTTCGTCTTCCTAGGAGAGGGAAACAACTCACCTCGCCATCATGATTCCTAGGAAAAAAACGATCGAATCCAAAGAATCCAAATCTCCCCGGTGGGTGAGCCTACCAAAAACGAAGTTCCTACCAAAACCAGAGTTCCCGCAAGCAAATGTCCTGCCAACACCAAAGTTTCCTACTTGCAAGTGTCTCGCCAAAACACAAGTTTTCTCACCAAAAAACTATACATCTCGTTAAGGATTTTCGAGCCAACCAAGAAAGACCCAAGGCCCACCTCGATAGGGTCACAATCGAATGAGCCCGAGATATGCATCTTGACCAACCAAAATCTGAGTTATACATCTTGACCAGTCATAAGCCCGAGTTATGAATTTCGACTAGTCATATCCCAAGTTATGAATCTTAGCCAATCATAAGCTAAGTTATGCATCTTGGCTAAACGATGCCCGAATTATGCATCTTAGCTAACCAATGCTCGTGTTATGCATCTCGACTAGTGATGAACCCAAATTATGCATCTTGACCGATCATGAGCCCGATTTATACATCACACACACACACACACACACAACCTTGGGCGAACTTGTCAGACGACGCCCTGACCCGACCTAAAGCTGACCCTCTCCAGTTATGAGCTCGAGTTATGCATCTTAGCTAAACGATGCTCGAATTATACGTATTGGCTAACCAATGCTCGTGTTATGCATCTCAACTAGTGATGAGCCCAAATTATGCATCTCGACTAGTCATGAGCCCGATTTATACATCACACACACACACATACAAAACCTTGGGCGAACTTATCAGACGACGCCCTGATCCGACCATGAGCCCGAATTATGCATCTCAACCAATCATAAGCCCAATTTACACTCGTGTTATGCATCTCAACTAGTGATGAGCCCGAATTATGCATCTCGACTAGTCATGAGCCCGATTTATACATCACACACACACAAAACCTTGGGCGAACTTATCAGACGACGCCCTGACCCGACCATGAGCCTGAATTATGCATCTCGACCGGTCATATGCCCAATTTACACACGCACGCACGCGCACACACACACACACACACACAAAACCTAGGGCGAACTTGACCCGACCTACACACACACAAATTATGCATCTCGACCAGTCATGAGCCCAATTTATACATCACACACACACACACACACAAAACCTTGGGCGAACTTGTCAGACGACGCCCTGACCCGACCTATACACACACACAAACAAACAACAAACAACACACACAGTTGCCGAGTAGGTGAAAACTTCCTTCAGCATGAGAACCACATTTACCAAGCTCCAGCATCACTATCGTAGCAGTAATATCACGGAAACATTAACACTATAACAATTTCCAGGTTACTCTCTTAATGATCAGGTATAATTTTGGCAAGCTTCAATTTCACCACTATTGAAATGAAAATTTCTGCCGACTGGGCTATGAAGATATATAGAATAATATTGTTAACTACAACACAGCAAATAGTGCTACAGATCACAAGCGATACCCAAACCAATTTCAGATCAAGATGGTTTCCTTCCTACCTAATCACATGTAACGGTCCTATACTCTGTATAGAAACCGTAAACCAGAAACCACAACTACCAAAGTACCTTTGACTATCTCATCTAATGAGTTGAACAGTCGAACATATAGGAAGAGACAAGAGTTTGGACCGACACTAAATATCATCTTGTCTGTGAGCAAAGGCAACAAATGCATTTTTGTTTAACCATTCATGACAATCGACCTCACATCAGGAATAATTTAACAGAAAATCACCAATAAAACAAACCATAGAAAACAATGCCTAAACAAAAGTTGCTTGATGTCGAACTGAAGCATAAGCAGGGGGATGTTAATTTTATGACCTGTCAAATGCTAGTCATTTCCCCTCTCACCATTGATTTGCTGATTTCAATAGAGGGTTGACCAAGTGCGACTTTAGCCATCTATTCTCTCGTAGAAGTACAAGTATCCCATGTCTTTTGGTGGATCAACTGAAGCCCCGACTTTGCTGTCATTAAATATCACCCATCTTCCATCTTTATGCACATGGGCCACATAATGCCCACAGTGGGTAGAGGTCCCAATGTGGCTAACTAATGCCATAAGCTTGTATCCTGCACATTAAAATCGTTAAAATGACACCTGGAAAAGAAAACAAAATCATGCAACCAACACGGCAGAGGAGCCAACAGAAACTTTCAACTGCATAAGAGATGGGTCACAACTGACCAAGATCAACAAAGTTCAAAAAATTCAAGAGCACCATACACCCCGAGGCATAATATTTTCCCTCCAGCAAAACAAAACCAGTTTACAAAAGGAAACATAGTTTGCCAGCAATGATATTTTTAAAAGCACAGACAAAACACACAAATATATATATACATACATATATATATATATATACATACATATATATATATACATACATATATATATATATACATACATATATATATATACATACATATATATATATATATAAAGCTTTATCATACAACTAAGCACTCAAAAAATAAGACAGACCACTAGTCTGATAAGGAGTTGAAAAGACAAACAAAGCAAAATCACACAGATTTAAGAACAACCCATGCAACTGAGTTTCAGAAAGAAACATGATGTTTTAATAAACAAAACAAAGTGTTATCTATATCTCATGTTAAAAAAGAAACTGATCAACCCATGCAACTGAGTTTAAGAACGTATGACAAAGATTCAAATGTTTTAATGACTAATGAAAGCTCATAGACCACACTTTGTTTTCCCTAACATGAAGTGCTATTGATATCTAATGTTCAAAAAGAAAATGGTCAGCCTATGAAATTAGGATTTAGAAAACTAGTGTCAAAGATTCAGATATTTGAATGATTTATGAAATCTACAAATCCCAAAAACATTTGACAAAACAGTTGCCTCTCTATTGTCTGAAAAGATAACTCTACTCAACTAAAGGCTAGAAATTCTACATTATATATTCTAAGCACCTGAGGGCAATTAAAATTATGAGAAAACTACCCTTGGGTGCTTGTCACTCAAGCCTCAGCTCATTTCTCAAAGTTGATATCATAAATGAAGTGCCAGAACTTGGGCATATCAAAGCGACCAAGTGCATGTCTCATTGTAAGTAAACACAAAGAAATAAACAGTAAATGCAAACAAGGATATAGTGGAACTTATTATCCTAATGTGCTTAGAATAATTGGGCAAAAGTTGAAGGAAATTAACTGCCAATTCCATCTGGTACTCCAGGATCTCCAGCCTGCATGCCACTTGAGGTTGCATCTGTATCTGCTGAGGCAGATGCCTCGGGGTGGCTAAATATCCAATCTGTAGCCTTCTCTATGTCCCCACCCTATTTAAGGGTAAACCATAACAAAGTTAGTGCATCCAGCAGACTAGCTGATAATACCAAATTATAGGAAATACTTCTGGATGTAGACGAGAAAAGTGCCACATAGAATGAAAGAACTAAAGTTGCAACCAACTAAAAGTGATATATGCATAGCAGCAACAGTCAAAGGGTCATTTCAAATAATACAAGTATATGGAACTTCATGAAAAGGAGTTTAAGTTAAAAAAGAATCTTACTGAAGCTTTCAGTGCTTTTCTAGCAACATCTTCTTGAAACCCAAATGAAATCAAAGTTTCAACACTTGTTTCATCAACAAATTGAAGTTCCATAGCATCTGATCTATGGGAAATAGGATCATCTATATCTGCATCGGGTGCCGAAAAACAAGTTATTCACCAATTATTTTCTTGATAAGATAAAAAAATACTGGTTGCTATTCACATAATGGCCAAGTAAACTCAGTGTTAATAGCTTGCTTCGTGGTTCCATACACAAACCTGGATCATTCATGTGAGATAGCAACCAAGTCATTGCTTCCTCAACTCCAGCATTTGCAGTGTTTATAGCAGCCTTCTGACAATGCAGATAATTAAAACCCATGGCTGCGAGCTTAGAAACAATGTCCTCACTGGCAACTAAATGGGTGTGTTCAACATCACCATCAGGACCTACAAAACTTACCCATCAAATTATAAGCTATAGAAGAAAAGCTGAACAGATGATCCATTTTTTCAGAAACGCACCAACATGATGAGAATCTAAAAGATAAGCATTACCGACCTGTTTCTGGTAGTAGTTCTTCTCCTGGCTGCAAACCCTTGCCACGCATGTGTGTGATGTCAATTACATCAGGAACATCAATATAAACATCTGCAATGCATATTGTAAACTATTATTGAACAACACAGGAATCATAAGGAAAAATTAAAACACCAAGACTTGAGACAATAAAAGGATTATACCTAGTTTCTTTGGCACCCATCCTTCTTCCATCACAAACTTCCTCATGTGCAATACAAGGTAGTCAGGGAAAGTAGCAAAATTGGCAGTCCTAAAAAGGCATTTGGTCAGTTGCTTCAAAGATAAAAAAAGGTAAAATTCTTACTAGTAGTCAAATTAAGAAAGTCATGTCTTCTTTTTATTTCCAAATGAAGTTTTCACATCTTTCCCTTTACCTTTCCATACATCACTAACCCTAACGGATTCATGCAAAAGCAGAAAAGTTGCATGGCATGTGTAGAGAAGGATGAGGTGAAGGAGCAGTGATGGTGGCAAGGAGAAGCAAAGAATCGAAAGAAGAGGAAGAAAAGACAAAAAAGAGAAGGACCATAACAAGGAGAACTGAATATGGGGAGTACAAGTACTAACCAATAGGCTTACCATTCTATCAGAAACGGTTGTCGCACACCCACAGCATCTTCGACAACAGGCCACAACATCTTGGCAGCATGTTTTGTTTTGGTTTTTGTATGTTTTTTGTTTGAAAACTGTGAGCAGGAACAGATAGCAGCACTGCAGAGTGACTGCTCACCAAAATGGACAAAACTACTGCAAAATAGCCTCATTTTCGCGTGTCACAGCTTGTTTTCTATAGGCCGCGAAGCGGTGTAAAACGTCAGCCATCTCAGCACCCTGGAACCACCCAGGTGGCACCAGGCTGGATAGGAGTTTGGGGTAGTGTTGGGCGTTGATTGGATCTCACAAATTTGCACATTAAGCCTACGGGAATTTGCCATCACGCTCGACACCGAGTAAGTAGTCGTTTGCAGACTTGAGACTATTTATTTGCTTTCTAAAGTCCTTGTTTTCTCGTTCCTCTCTTTTCTCCCTTGCACACCGAGTGTTTGCTGAATTGCTAGTAAAGCTACTCTCTTCACTAGACGTCGAGACTTGTCCGCCGCTCGCTTTCAAATTAATCAATTTGTTCTTTCATAAGTCCTTTAGGACCTAAGCAAGGTTGCAACTATGATGACCCTTTGCAGACGGATACTGAAAGGGTGTCTCACGATTTAGGCAATCCCAGCTAAGTCTGTGATATTAACACAAGTGTGCTTCACAAATTAAGCAATCTCAGCTCAGCTCGTGACACTGGCGTAAGGGTGCCTCACGACTTAGGCAATTCTAACTAAGTCCGTGGCCTTGCTGCAAGGGTGCCTCATGACTTCGACAATTCTAGCTAGGTCAATGATATTGTGGTATCAGAGCGAACAAACAATTCGAGCAAACAACGAAAAGTTTTGCAATCTCACTATGGTAAAGCATCGTCGCGAACTAAGCAAGATGGGGTAAGCTGGACCATTGCCTCAATCAGTCGTAGGTGAGCTGCAAGTGCAAACTCGCTCTCAAGCTATTGGAGCCACTCAAGAGAAGCACGACAATGAACAAGACGAGTGAGAAGTTGGCTAATCTCCGCGAGCGAAGGAAGCACAATCTGGAGCGTTAACCATAAAAAGAAGCCATAAGGAGAGGCTTACAACTGCGAAAACCTGCATTGACGTTCTTGAAGCGAGTTTGGAGGAACTCTATCAAGGCCAACGAAGGCTTCTTAGGATAGACAACTCGCTAGAAGAAGTAGAATCTTGGATTGACAAGGTCGAGTCCCTAGTCGATCGATTGATAAAAGACACCAAAGACTCCATGCAACATCTACACAAAGTCATGGCGGAACTCATGTCCAAGGTTACATTGGTCACAAGTGCTCTTAATGCGGGAGAGAGCAACACCCGCGTTGCCTCACCACAAAACTTGAGAGCACCCGAGCTGCATTACTACGAGGGTGCCAAGGATGCAAAGGAGCTCGAGAATTTCCTGTTCAACATGGAATAAAACTTCCAAGTTATAAGGCTCGATTCTAAAAAAACCAAAATTTCGATAGCAACCATATATCTAAATAGGGATGTAAAACTTTGGTGACGAACACATTAGAAAGAGATCCAACAATGTCAATGTCAAGTGCACACACAGGAGGACTTGAAGCAAGGGTTGAGAACTCAGTTCCTACCCAAGAACACAGAGTTCGTTGCAAGAAGGAAGCTAAGACAACTCCACCAAAGTACTTACATTCGGGACTACGTGAAATAATTTTCTGCGCTGATGCTAGACATACAAGACATGTCCGAGAAGGACAAAATATTCAACTTCCTCAATGGCCTGAAGCCCTAGGCACAACAAAAATTGCATCGAAGGAATGTCACCGATGTGATCGAGGCAATCACAACTGTAAGGCTCACTGACTTTGTTTCCTCGAAAGACTTGGGGTAGAAATAATTTTTGGGAAATCGCCCATCCAAATATTTTTGAGGAAAGGAGTCTGAAAGCGAGTGAAAGAAAAGTCCCCACAAAGAACCAAGCTCAAAAGGCAAGGCCTCAAAACTTGGCAGATGCTTCTTGTGCGAAGGACTGCATATTGTGAGAGAGTGCCCACAAGAGTAAGCACTCAATGCCTTATCAGCATCAATCCACCCCCCAGATCGGACAAAGGGCAAGATCGTTGCCCTTAGTTCGAGAAGTTCGGAATCCAACAACAACGATGAGTCGCAAGGACCCCGAATGGGAATGCATTTGTTAAATGCGTAGCGAGATCAAGTAGGGGAGAACATGAAGATGAAGCCACAGAAAATAGGGAGCAGTAAGCCGATGTACATGGACATCAAGCTAAATGACCGAACAACTCGTGCGATGGTAGACACGACCGATACCCATAATTTCATTGTCAATTGAGAAGTAAGACAACTTGGGTTGAACCTAGAGAAGAGCTCAAGTCGGATGAAAGCTGTGAACTCGAAAGCTAAGTGGATCTCTGGACTGGCAAAGGGGTTCATTTCCATAAGCCTCCACCCCTAGACGGATGGTCAAACCGAAAGAATAAATTCGCTCCTTGAACAATACCTTTAATACTACTATGTGAGTCCTAACCAATAGGATTGGGTAAAGCTGTTGAATATAGCCCACTTCTCTTATAACTTGTAACGGAGCTTTGCATCCAACAAGAGCCCCTTCGAGATCATTACGAGACAATAGCTGCCAACTCCTCACACCTTGGTGATCGATTATACTGGGAGTCGTCTGTCAGCATATCACTTTGCAAAGGAATGACACCAAAACGTAGATATTGCGCATACTTACTTAGAGAAGGCGACCAAAAAGATGAAGTGGGGAAGACTTGGGAAAGCGACGATAGGAGTTTAAAGTTGGTGACTTGGTGTTGGTGAAACTCCAACTAGCATCACTCTAGTTCTTTAGGCATAAAGTGCACAGGGGACTGGTGCGCAAGTACAAAGGATCCTTCACAATTATCAACAAGGTAGGCAATGTCTCCTACAAGTTGTAGCCGTCGACGTGGCTCAAAATTCATAATGTCTTTCACACAAGTAACTTGGAAACCTACCACTTCGACTCGCAAGATACTTCTCGAAATGTTCCAACTCAGCTACCCCCACACACCACCAAAGCCTCCTACGAAAAACGAGTTGAAACCATTTTAGCGGATCGCATGACAAAGCTACCCAATAAAGCATAGCAGATCAAATATTTAGTCATCGCATATGCTTGGCAGCATGTTTTCTTGTACATATTCTTGGCAGCGTGTTTTGCCTTGGTTTTGTATGTTTTTGTTTGAAAAATACGAGTAGGAACAAAACGCAGTGCTACGGAGCGACTGCTCACCAAAACGAGCAAAACTACCCCAAAATGGCCTTGTTTTCGTGCGTCACGGCTTGTTTTCTGCAAAGTGCGGTAAGGTTCAAAACCTCAGCCATCGCAGCACCCTAGAACACCCTAGGTGGCACCAGGCTAGATAGGGGTTTGGGATAGTATTAGCGTTGATTAGATTTCACAAGTTCGCACGTTAAGCCTATGAGAACTAGCCATCATGCCCGACACCCGGTGAGCAATTGTTTGCATACTTGCGACTATTCGTTTGTCTTCTAAAGTCCTTGTTTTTTCCTTCCTCTCTTTTCTCTCTTGCACACTGAGTGTTTATTGAATTGCTTGTAAAGCTACCATCTTCGCAAGACATCGAGACTTGTCCATAACTCATTTTCGAACTAATCAATTTGCTCTTTTACAGATTCTTCGAGACCTGAGCGAGGTTGCAATTATACTGACCCTTTGTAGACGGATAATGCAATGGTGCCTTATTACTTAGGCAATCCCAACTAAGCCTGTGACATTAGCGCAAGGGTGTCTCACGACTTTAGCAATTCTAACTAAGTCCATGACAATTCGATAGAACGACCACTAAGTATTAGTTACCTTACTTTTTAGTAAGCTTGTTGCAATAAGCTTATCCGGCGATAGCCTCAATTTCAAGCCATTTGACTAGTAAAAAAAAGGTTTTATAATTGGGTATGATCAGGATTTAAATTTATGTATATGTGATTCATAATTATTCTCAAATTTCATCACTTTTTTGAATGAAGTCTAATCTCTATTTAAATTTGTGATACCAGGGTTTTTTTGTTTCATAGGCACAATAGAATGCCCAAATTATACCATTGGCTCTCATCAAGAAGAATTATATTGTTAACATTACTTGGTATTTGAATGCACATCACTTCTTGTGACATCAATTTGAAATTTGCGCGTAAAACATTAGAGTTCAGAGGTACTCTATGCATTTGAATATTGAACATACAAATAACAAAATATTGTTCTCAGATTTGTCAAATCAGAAAAATATCAATTTGTTAGCAGCTACTCTACAAACTTACTTGATTGCTGTTGTCTTTGCATTTAGTGAAGTGCTATAGAAGTCATGGACCTCCTCAGGAGCTGAAAAACTAGCTAGGCATGCTTCCAACGGAACTCTTGGTCGTACAATTTCATCCCTATCTCTGTTCAAAGACGCATGGAAAAAATACAAACTACAGAACTCAATGACAAAAAACATAGAGAAAATGCTCTTCTAACTTACATGTCCTTCGCTTCTAATTTTCTTTCGGCTTTCATCTTGTGAAAGGCTTCAAGCTGTTCTGAATCATTAAAAGGAGAGAATAATGCCTACCTTCAAATATCAATATCAAGAAAATGGAAGGGTTAAGCAAATTACCTTTGTTAGTAGCTTCATGAAGTGGTATACTCAAAGAGAGAATGTAATCTGATCTTTTATTATAAGCAACTTTCCCAGAGGGACACTGAAGACGTTCTTCAATTATAAACTTAAAACTCCTTGAAGGATCCAATTCAGGTTTACCAGAATTGACCCGTTCAACTTGGTCAAGAAAATGCAGAAAAAACTCCAAAGCATCCTAAATAAACAACATAAGTCACAAGTCTAACAAACTAATAAGAGGATAATACTCACTAAACAAGAACAATAGCAACAAAAACCATACAAAAGATATTGGCAAGGTGAATGGCCAATGTCAGGTCAAGTATACACCTAGAGACCATCCACTTTGCCTGTGTCTTGGGAATGTTTGTACATTGCTAATGCAAGAGCTAGATCTTATAGTCATTTAACAGTGTCAAAAGTGTAAGGCGTTGCCCAAAAAAAGAAGAAAAAGATAGCCAATCTTAAATGAGTTCAAATAAATCACAAAAAAGGAAAAGTACTCGAAACTTATTAATATATAAAAAAAGAAGTTACAAGTTAACATGATACAGCTATCACAAGTAACAGCAGAAAGAGTGCATTAAAATCAAGCTATATGCCTCCATGTTCCAGGCCCACATGTTTCAACAAAATGTGTCATTGCTCCATATTGGTCCTTGACATGCATATCAAGCTACAATAAGACACACCAATATCGGGATACTTTATCCAACAGTAATCAAGTACAGTACAGGAACCACATACCTACTGGTCTAGATGTCACTGTCAATAACCATGAACACAAGAAAATCCCAGGAAACATTTGGCCAATAAACCCAGAATATTTAGTCCAATGAAGAAATATATGAAAACAAGGTAATGAATGGGATAAAAAAGTTAAATAAAACCATGGTCTGCAGTACCGGACCGTACCGCCCGGTACGGGCGGTACATACCGGTCCGATAGGCTTCCGGTACGCGGACCGTCTGTTACCGAGTGGTACACCTGGGTGTACCGCTCGGTATACCGTACCGTACCGGTACCGAGCTCAGGTCGAAACTCCGGTACGGTACGGTATTGCGGACCTTGAATAAAACCTACAAACGTATTACAGATCTCAGCTTTGGCTCATCTCACCTTGCTTTACTTTATGGCTTCAAATAAATTAAAACTTAAACTTAATAGTATTAGGCCATATTATAGCATTTCACTATTTTTTAAATAACTTTGGTCAAAAAGTAACTAAACGAATTTGAGACTCACATTAACTCCATGTACAAGTTCTTCAATTCTCAGGAAAAAGAAGTACCTGTTGCCTCATACTTGAAAACTCAGGATGGTTGGCAGCAATAACTGTTTTAAACATGCGAGGGGGAACACCTTCTTGCTTCTGAAGCAAAAAGGAAATATAAGACCTAGCATCAGCAAAAACCAAAAATACCAACAGAACATCTTACTAGACAGCTCCATATAGACCAAATCTAGATGAACATCAATCTCAAATATCTTCTTCCCTAATAAGTTGAATTGGTTACAGGTATAACTTCTTAATAAAGCATACTGAAAGATACATGATTAATGTCATGTGAAGTTTCCAATTTCACCTACGAAATTAATATCAATATTCACCTTCAACTAGGATGCTTCCTGTTAAACACAAAAATATTTATCAAACCACTTACTATTCTTAAAACTTCAACAACGCTGTAGAAAACTTTTAAAAGAACAATACCTTAATTTTAATCACAGCTAATCATGACAGGAGTTCAAAAGATAGAAACTTACCTCAGTAGCAGCTTTAAAATCAAAATTACTAATTGCTACACTTCTTTACTGAGTTCTTGCTTGTACTCTTGTTCTTTTTCAGTTCAATTTAGTTCTTTTCATTACTGAGGTTTTCATGAGTCATTACATAAATACAATTTTCCATATATGTGGATCAGCAAAGGCAATAAAATAAAATATTATGAATAATGATCTAGAAGTATGGAAGACAGATGATGACTAGAAATTGCACTGTTCCTCCAAAATAAAGCATGAGCTAGACAGGACAGAGTGCATAGTTGCTATGCTGGCAAATGCAATATGTCCCATATATATTTCAAGCCTTTATCATAATACCAAACAGAGCTAACTAGAGTTAAAACAATCAATACCAATGGTTCAGTTCCGATATCTGCAAAAGGTCTAAAGGTATACCAGAACTTACAGAACTGGAAGTTGTGGTTTTAGAATTGTCAACTTCATTGATCCGGTTGAAAGAATTGATTATTAATCATTTATTCCCATTAAAAATAGCCACATTTATGTATAAGAACATACCTCTTGGATCGGCACAGAATATTTACCAGACAGCAAACCATGCGCCAGTTTCGTCCTGTGTGAAAAATATATTCAAAAATCACAATAATGTCAACACCCATGCAAGTCACTCAGGTCATGAACATTAAAGAGCCGACATTTACATGCTGTAAAACAAAAAAACACAAGACTAATTATAATCTAACATAATCCTCAAATTGCAAATGGAGATGAAAAAACTACTTCAGAAAAGTTCAAGATGCACATATCCACATTAGACAATGAAACAGTTGATTCAATAAGATAAACAAAAAGGACTCGTTGTACCAACTCCATCCTACTCTCTAGTTTTGTTGTCTTAATTTGTCCATAATCTGAAAATGATATGACAGAGTAAGCACATTTCTTTAGCTCTCATTTAACCTTTGGTTAGTCTATCTACCAAAACTTTGATGCAACTCCTTTGGTTCATCCAAAATGTACTGAACAGACAAGTCAATAAAGAATCTCACAACTGAGTTAAGTACTTGTATTGACCAAAGTGACTTGAAATGCTAACTCAAATTTACTTCTAACAAGCCTTCCATGTATACAAGTAGATATTAATCATTCAAGTATTTCCTTGCTATTATTTCAGATGAGAGAATTTCCCCAAATAAAATACATGACTTGCTTACCAAGGCACAAAATAGCAGAGTTCACCTTTTAGATTCCTTGGCATAAACCAAAGTTGAGCATGCTTGGAAATATCAGTAACAGTGATTTAAAAAGCGCTAGGTGCCAAAAGGCGCTAAGGTCCAAAAACGTCCGAGGCGCTAGGCGCTCGCTCGAGCGAAGCGAGGCGCTAAAATATAAAAATATATAATATAATTAATAAATATAATTATTTAAAATTTTAAATAAAAATATGCTATTAAATTAAGAAAATCTATGATACAAAATCATAAATGAAAATTGGAGACTCTATTGAATTGCTCTGTACACTTGCCATTTATCTTGAAACCTAACAATAATTTCAAATAAATAAAAATTAATAATATTAAAATCAAAATAATATATTATTAATCTATTAACAGTATTGAAAATTAATAATTTCAAATAAACCTAACAATATTAACAGTATACAGTATACTGTTAATAGTATATAGAGGAGAAGGAAGAGTGTAAGGGGGTGCTGACTGAGAAAAGAGGAAGCGACAACGGCAGCAGGAGTCGGAGCGGGAGTGTAAGGACGCAGCGGCAGCGGGAGCAGGAATGTAAGGAGGCAGCGACAGCAGGAGCGGGAGTGTAAGGAGGCAGCGGGTGCGGGAGCGGCGACAGCGGTTGCGAGCAACGACAACGGCGAGTAGCGAGCGCAGGAGCGACAGCGGCAACGAGCAGGGTTAGCCGGTTAGGGTTGGGCAACGACAGCTGATATCGATTTTAGTTGGGTCGATTGAACCAACTAACCACCGAAGACTGAACCAGACCTAAAATCTTGGTTCGGTCGCCTGGTTTAACATAGGCGCTCGCCCGAAGCGCCCAACGCATGGGCCCGAGCGAGCGCCTAGGCGGCGCCTCTTTGAAGCGCGCCGCCTGGATGTTTAGCGAAGCGCTCAGGCCTCGCCTCGCCTCGCCCGAGCGCCTAGGCGAGCGCCCGAGCGCCATTTTAAATCACTGATCAGTAACACTGAAACTATTATTTTCTCAAAGGAATGCCAAGCAAGGTTCCTCATACCGGTCGATACGAGTGATACATACCGGTCCAACAGGGGACTGATATAGGTGGTATATTAGTATACCCCCATGTACCATGTGTTGGTACGCTCAGTATGGCTCGGTACAATTTGGTACATACCATACCAACAACTGGTCGGTATACTAGTACAGACAGATAAGGCAAACCATGTTGCCAAGAATGCTAGGGATGGACTAAGTGATCCCAACTAACTTCTATAAGGTCTAGCTAGTTATCAACCAGTCAAACCAGGTATAGACAGTTCTATTGGAACCAATTTCCAATCATTTAGAAAGCACTCAGTACCATGATTAAAATGAACTAAAGAAATCCCCAACTCAATTCAAATCCTAAAAATATACGGACCAAAGAAAACATCATGTCAGTGCACACGAGGTAAACCCCATGTCAACATGTAAAGCCCATGAGAAAAGACCTAAAAGAAGTAGCTTTGATATTGCCTAAATACAAATGATATAATAGCCTAATGAATTACATGATGCAAACCTCAATGGAAAGACCAAAAATGCTTAAATTAAGCTATTAGTAATCGGCCACTAGATCTATATACACAAGTCCCCACCAACAATTTGATGACCAATGATAGAGGTCGACAGCACCACCATGATGATGACTGACAATATAGATGGAAGGAGGGAAAAAACTCATACTAGGGCTTATGGTTCTCTAAAATTGAGGGTCAAACGACATCTATATACGAGATTATTTGAAAGCAAGAAAAAATCAACTTCGAATTTCATATCTTCCCTTCCAAAACCATGGCATGCCATCATACTCGAGTTCATAAATTCAAAAAATCATATCTTTGACCAACCAAGTAGATACAAAAAATAATGGTTCACATGGTACAACCATACAAGGTATCTAAACCATCGGTCTTTGCTTGCATTAATTTGCATTGTTTTCCTAATAAGAATATGAAACATTTATTATCAAATTTAGATAACACTGACCAACCAAGTACTCAGCACATCTTATATCATAAGAACTAGATATACAAGCGGAAGGCACCCATGGAACAAGATACCTTGTATAAAACCTAAAGTCTTGTTTGTTTTACAAAGATAATTTTATGGACCAAATCACAAAAAAAAATTATATTCATGATTTTTTTGTGTAACTTATCAAATAATCAGTTTATTTCAACAAAATGCTGCCCAGTACCAGGCAGACCACCAATAAGAATAAGATCCAAAGATTAATTCAGCATAGGAATAATTTAAGACACCAGTTCTAGCAAAGCATTGGATTCAAAACTGATCCTAAACAACATAACAATAGTAGATTGGAAAATATGATCTCACAACTTAAAGTCTGTGGTGTTCATGGTCAACTAGCCAATCTAACGAGCTTTTCCAAACACACTGAAATTTCAAAACATACATGTTTCGCACAATAGTCCTTGGGTATGACAAGACAAGCATGGACAATTATCACATTAATAGTCGGCTTATAATAATATGCAGCTGAGTTCAATAAGTTGGAACAATGAAACACATCTAGGCACAATGAATATCAGTTGACACTTAATCAACATAGATTGTTTGTTTTCTACAAAATTGTAAGTTCAATCTTCACTTACAACTGCATATTCAAGTCCAATGTTGGATCAGAAGTAGCCATTGCAAATGCCATCTTCAAACTTTGATGTTCATAATATCTGTATGGAGCACAATTACATGATTATAAAAGCATCATACATCCAATAAATTACAAGTGGCCTCAGTTAAGAAATCTTAGATACACAAAATGGATATGAACCTAGAGATAAAAGCACGAGTTGTGAAAACTACTTGTATTGTCGATGCCATATAGCAGCTGACAAAGAAATAAACAACAAAAAGCAGTTAATAAGTAGTTAATATTCATCAAACTAGTTTGTTGATGAGAAACAACACTGTATCATCATCATATGGATACCTATTTCCAAGATTTACAAGACCAGTATAGCCTGGTCCAAATAAGGGTTCCACTTCCTGCCCACTTTCCTGAATACGGTTCCAGTCAAAATTTGTGTTTTGGTCAAGTTCCCTCTCAGCTGTAGTCATTTCAGTCTGCAAAAATAAGACAACGTAACTCGAAAAATCTGTTTGTAGCATTACTAAGGACCCCCAAGTTCTGAAAATATTCCAGAAGCATATTAAGCATCACACAGGTTGTCATTTCATCCACAACCACTTAAAAGAAGCCTTCCTCATCACAACATGAATTTAAACTTTCAAAGTCAATGTATATAGTACATTTAAAATTTTAATAATCAGTCTCTACTGTTCATGAACTTCATGTCAAACACTCTGCATAAATAACCTTCCCCATCCCTCATAATAGAGCATAGAACATATACGCTCACAAATAAAGATCTCAAGTTATCCATGCACAAGTTCATAAAATTTAATTCATTCTACATCTCTATTTTTTTTTACTAATTCTGAACCATAATTTCATGTGTCTTGTCAAATTTAATATTAAAATTATTGCAAATTATAGCTTTCCTATGTTTACTTTAGATATGGATGAAAGAAAGATAATGTATCGAATGAATTTATTTTTACATCTTCATTGACAGTTTTGGCTCATGTGACAATATACATAATTGAAATGTACTTATCATAAGATGTTGGGTTAGGCACCAATAAAATGAGTATGCAAAACTCAATAGACAGTGTTTAATTTATGAGTGTGCAATAGATGGTCCACTAACAAACAATATGGAGGTACTTGTGTTGCATAATTAGTTTGATTAACCTCCAAGTAGAACTCGTTGATGACATTAAGGGGTCAAATCATTCTGCATATTTCTTGTTGCAAAGTTTTACACCATTATCTAGTATTTATCCACTAGGAGAGCTGATGAAGCATATTGCAACATCAAAAGCATCAAACATCTCAATATTGATTAAACCAGCAATGATACTAAACAGGAATGGATTCACTACAGAGACATGACACGATATGAAAACAACAACCTTTTAGCATAGCAAGGAAAAAAAATTGTTTTCTTAGCAAAAAGTAAAGAGGAAAATGAATAAACATAAAATAGTTCAAGCCCAAAAAAAGTAAAATCATCTATAATGAGACGAAGTCATCACCAACCTTTTGCAATGATGAGAAATCGATACCAAAAAAGGCCAAGTGTTGAGCTAACAAGGGATCCTCAACAGTATCATCCTCGGGGTAAGAAAAAACATCTGAGCTGCCATAATGGTTACACTATAAGCGATATCTTACTAGAAGAACCAAAAGCATGGTGCTATATTGATATCATTTATAATAGAAAAGAGGTTAACATCACATATCAATTTCCACTGTCATGCTTCTAATCTTAATACATACACCTCACTATGTTCAAAGTACCAAATATGAGAGCAAAGTTGAGATCTAATATTGCATATATCATATCAAAAACTACACATCTTTTGGAATGCACATAATCTGCGTAGCCCACAATATTATTTCCAAGTAAATCTTGATATTATGTTTTATTGACACCTCATTATTCATCTGGCTGCTTTCCTAAAGTTTCTTGGATGCAATTATAGTTATTCCTTGGGTGTTTCATAGTTTAAATATGACTTTAAGAATACATGTGAGTTAACATCCTGGGCAATCAAGCCTGTTAATAATATGCATTCATTATGTAAACACATATGCAAAAATAGCTTTTGTTTTTATGTTAAGAGACATGAATAGTAATTTTTTAAAGACTCAATATCATATTAAAAAATATATGGTAAGGATAAAACATTAAGTAAAGCATAAATACACAACCAATTAAAGATACAAGAAATAAGAAACACTATACTATATGAATATCCGCACATGCTTAGGCTTGTTGGATCTCTGCTATGGAACACAGCAGATATGTGGCATGGCCACAAGGCAATCTCCACAAATGCAGTTCAAAACCGCTTTCAAGCACCAAGTATTTATTCTAGATATTGTGGGACATCATGATACTCCTGGCTCACTCATAATTAGTATTTGTAGTAACATAATCTTTCTCTACTCCCATGCTGGTGTGTAACACCAATTTTTCCATCTCCTTGTTTACATTAGGTCCTTTTCCAGAAAGCTAGTTTAACATCTTGCTTTCATGACAAATGAGTCAAATTTATTCATCTACATAACCTTCATCCTTCCAATATTCGGTGTATGATAGTATGCCTGCAAACTTTTGAACTCACTGTACTCATCCATCTCCTCTGTCTTTAAATACTGTCCTTCAGCTCCTTTTACACTAAGTTTCCTTTTATTATAGCATGCCACCTCAACATTCTGAAGACTACATCGCAAAACCAACAAGCACATCAGCTTTTAGGTATCATCACGATAGAAACATAGGAAACAGATCGCATCTCCATTAGAAACAGCTACCTGTTTCCCTAGGTACCAAATCCCAGAACAGGTCATTCACCATACCAAAGCATGAGACTGTAGAAAATAGCTGATTTTGGCAAACAGATTTTAGAAAAGCAAATGGAAAGACTTAAGGCAATTGCTTGAATAGAATAGCTAAATCATATACTGGCAAATATTTTTTTCTCAAAAATTATGAAAATGATCTCCATTATAATTTTCTGATTTAAAAAAAGTTTACTCATATTCCCATTCCATTACAATCATAGCATCATCCATGAGCTAGAAAATTTAGCTGGTTAACACTTCCTGATCTGACTAAACAAATCTACCCAAATCATCATGAAATTTGTAGGTGCTTGAACTTATGTGGGTTTGGGGCCATAAACCAGTTGTAACCATTCTTGAATTACATTTTAGTTTCAGATAATTAACCCAAATGAAATAATTATCAACTTTTAACTATATTACATTTTTTTTATTAATCATTTTATACATGTTTCACAATTATCTTGTCAACCATGTTGAGTTTATCTCCAATATAAATAGTCAAATCAGGTGAATCAAGAGTTGTCCGTAAACCTATGTACCAACAAACCATTTCAGGAGTTGTAAATCATGACATCCTTGGCTGCACCAGAAACAGTTTGTTTATTAAACAGGTTAAGCTGGTTAAGTTGGAAGGTGTTTCAGATAAGCCAGCAGCCACATTGAGATTTAGATTTCATACAAAATAATGAAACAGCTTAGATTCGGCAGTGATTGTACTGGTATATAAATTCAAACCCCAACACAAATCCCAGCTGAATGGACCTGTAGCCACTGCAAGTTTTTTTATAGAAGGTACCAGTATTAGCAAATTGATGGCAACTATAAATGAGCGCTATAGATTAATTCTGCTGACTAATTGTTGTACACAACAAAATTGAAAGTGCTAAAAATAGGCATAATAGAGATATCAAAGGCATACATTGATCGGAACACATCAAAATAAACACAAGCCATGTGAACTTTTGGACCAAAATTGAAGTCAATTGAGTATTCAAGAATAACACCAGAAATGCATGTTGGTATATTAAGATATGCTAAGATTCAATGCAGGAGAAATAATAAGAGTGAAATTTCAATTATATATAAATGAGAACTTAGAAACATTGGCATAAAAAAACAAAAGAAACAAGGAATTATTAAAAACAAAAATAAGCACAAACTTGATGCCAGAAAATAAGATTTATGCAAGCAAAACCATCACAGAAAAAACTTTAAATGCTTTTGGAGGGCAGAAAAACCATTACCTGCACCTACCAAATCAGCAGTTATGGTACCAAGTTTCACGGCTAGAGGATACTTTGTCTCATTGTAATGTTCAATAGCATGATTATTGCCACCACTTCCATCCCAATTTCTCCGACCACAAAATATCATTCCATCAGTTAGGTTCAGCCAAAGATTATCAGTCTTGTCACATTTGCAGCATTTCCAACCAGATGGGGGCACAACAACACCACTGTTAATCTGTTGCAAATTCATCACATAGGCACTCACTTTCTTCTTCTCTGCAGTCCAAGCTGCTAATTGCTCTTTGCGTTCGGCACCTTCAGCTATCAAAATGGCATCAACAGCCAACCTAACCTATAAATTACTCAAACATAAAACACATGTAAGAAAGCCTTAGCTGCAGGCCTTACAGAAAACTGAAGACAAATACCTTTTCTGGCAATTCAACAGATGGAAATGGAAGAGACACATAATCAGGTAATATAACAATGTTGTGAGTTTCTTCGTAGTCGGTTTCTTGATAATCAAATCCTCCATCCACTCCTGCAAAAATATGGTATGTTAAAGGAGCCCTTTCCTCAGGAACATCTGAAGTGAAATTAGTTTACTTTGTTGAGAAGCAAAAGACTATAAGGCAAGTAGTGGACATTAAAGGACCATAGTGTAACCTTAGTCGGTTTTAATCAGATGTTAATAGTACCATGTATCCAGCCGAATCATCTGACATCAACCAAGAAAACTTACCTAAGTGCTCGAATAAATTATTATGACATATTCACACTTTATCGCTAACACCTGTAGTCTGCTTAAGCCACTATGAAAATAATTAAATGCGCTCATCAGATTTACATCCTAATGAGTGTTTCTCTTGTTCCAAGAAAGAAAAAAGACCTCCCAAAACAAGGGGAAAAGAGAACTTACCATCCAATGTAACACTTGTTCATTGCATAAAAATATTAACCAATCTCCAATACAGTCTCAAGCACTTAGAAGCTTAGCATACGGGCTACCACTGCCTTGGCTTCCTAATACAAGTCACCCATCGATAATTCTCTGGCCGTAATGATCCCAAAGAGATTAAAAGTCCTTAACACAACCTACAATGTGCCTGTGGCTTAAACGGTCTGTCTGATACCTTTTTGGCAATGTAAGGACCACATGAGGGGGTTGATGCCTGTATTACATACAGGCACTAGTACAGGGGCAGTAAGCGTTATTTTTGTGTCTTCCACCCCAAGTAGGAATCATGTTGTTGAGTCTCCCAATTATACACCTTATCTTGCCTTATTTTGGGCTAGATTCCAAATAGAATTGGGTATTTTCAGTAGCCCTAGCAGTACGCTGAATTTCTCCTAAACAATCTGAAAGGCAAATTTCCTCTTCTAAGCAGCATCCGTCTGCACCACTCTGTCATGACCCAAATTGAGATGGAAGCATACCTTATGAAGCATGATAGATCTCAGAGAGCACTCTAATTGGCCAACCCGATATCATCCGGAGTGTATGATAAAAGTTAGAATTCTGTCTTGTTTAGTCAGGATGTTTGCGCATATCATTTATTTGTTTATTTTAGACCTTTAGAAATTGACTATTTTTAGTTCTTTGCAAATGTTTATTTTTTTGACTCAATCACCAAGCAAGTTATGGTAACGCAGTCAGCCCAGTCAACATAGAAGCCAGCTGTTCGTTTGCTGCCCCTGTTAGTGACTGCATGCAGGTTTATCATGACCTGCCATAAGCATGTTCTAGACTTCCCTGTAGGGATCTGATTCAGTATCTTAAACAGACACAATTTTCTAAAAAAATAGATCTAATCATCTCCATCCACCTTTCATGATATTTGGCATGTAAAGAACACTTCCTCTTAAATTGATTCCAAGTGTCAGCATTGAGGTAATGCCAAGGCAATGAAGAACCATAGGCTACAAAGACAAGCCAACAAATAAAAAATTATCAGACCTTGGACAATTTCCAAAAAAACCATAAATAAAGACCCATTTGACAGTAATCAAGAAGCATAATCAAGATCTATAACCATTCATATGTTCCACCAATGAAACCTATGAATGAAAGAAAATACATTACTGCTTTAATATAACAACCACAGAAAGCATCCTAAAACATGTGAATTTAGCATGCCACTGTAAATATAAGCTATCTAGACCAGGAATCTTAGCTGAGTTACACGATCATTAGCTGGAATCATCCAGATCATGAAATTGTTGCTTTAAAAAAAATTTGTACATACATATTATGCAATGGATTAATAAAATAAAATTTTAAAAAAGCAAAAGAGTCATCATATTTCTTTTGTGCAAGCGTGAAAATATATACTAAACAAATGAATTAGATGAGAAAAGAACTTTCACATTGCTCTAAAGGTCAAACTAAATCAAGTGGAGTATTTCAAAAATTAACACCAACATCAAAAAGGGGCCAAATGGCACTGTAAAAAAGTTTGTTACGCTCTGAATGTTCCAACTGGTTATTCTAAAGGACAAATCAAAGTCAATATAGTTAGCTCAAACACTGCGAATAATTTCAAGAACAAGATAACCAACGTAGTCAAACAGAAGAAACCAAAGAAGCGATCTGAAAGGTACCAATGGCGAGAAGGGTGGGCTTCTTGAGAGGTCGGTCCTCCGGTACAGGCTTCGGCCTCTGCTGTATGCGAAGGTAGACGGGATTCCCAGTCTTCTCATAGTTCCATCCCACATACTCCTTCCCGAACGCAAGAAACGAGCTTAGATCCACGTACAGGCCGCCCTCAGACCTCTGAACGCGACCGGGAACGCGATCAAACGATCAGAATCGAATCGAAGCGAAGTGACAGAAAGAATGGGGCAAGAAGAGATCGGGGAGAACGCTGGGATTCGAAGTGAATTACCGGGGTGTCGAAGGAGATGCAGCACTCGCTCTTGTAGATTCGGTTGGTGGGCTCGGGGATGCGAACCCTGGAGAGGTGGGAGCGGAGGAGCTCCATTGGAGAGGGGAACATCGACTAGGGTTCGGGGGGTCGAGGGAGGATGAGATGAAAGAGAGAAGGGCTAGGGTTTGTTTCTTGGCTTATCGAGGAGAGGGAGAAGGAGAGGACTCTGTGTTGGCCTCTTGCGGCGAGGTCTTTTGAGCTGCGCCGAAAGAGTGAAGAGGGGCTTTTCAAGTCCTTTAGGGAGTGCGTAGAAGTGGACTCGCCCCGAAGTCTATCGGCAAACGCGCAACGAAATGGAAACGGGCAATGAAATAGGTTTATACGCACAAGAATCCAAATATAAACGGAGCCTTAACTTGGTTTTTTTAATCCAGAATCAAGGGTCGAATAATTACAGTAACAGAAAAATAATAATTAATTATAAAGTTGCTTCTGATTTCTTTTCCTTTCTTTTCGATGGGTAGTCAAATTGCTCTGACTTGTTAATTTGATAAGATTCTTTTCATTTTGCAAATGATAAGAAATGCAGGTAATTCAATTTCATATC